AATAATAATAATAATAATAATAATAATAATAATAATAAAATTAATAATAATAATTATAATAATAATAATAATAATAATAATAATAACAAAAGAATGCATCAGATGTCTAGTTGAGCTGCAGCAGTGGATGGAAAAACACTTACCCACACGTGCCACCTCGTCCGGCAGTTGAACCCTGGTTCATTTGGCTGGCAGGTACTAGAAACTACTGCTTCAACACCCGTCTCGGGGAAGGGAGTGCCTTAATGCTAGTAAAGAGTTCTTGATCCAAAGATTTGAAGCTACACCTCACCTTCCTTTAATCACATCTGTTTCCTTCATTTTAGAAGCGCTGCATGACCACTTTTGGCTTAGCGCCTCCCTATGAATACACTAATAATAATAATAATAATAATAATAATAATAATAATAATAATAATAATAATAATAATTTAATAATAATAAAAATAATAATAATAATTATAGTAATAATAATAATGGTATTATTATTATTATTATTATTATTATTATTATTATTATTATTATTATTATTATTATTATTATTATTATTATTATCTTCTCAGCTGCTAGTAATGCAGTCACAATGGGCAATTCACCTGCCTGCATTTCTTCCATTTTGCTGTTTTTTTTTTTTTCATTTTGCAGTTGCTTCCATTTTGCATACAGAGAAGTTCCTGTAAATCTTTTGCAGAGTACGAGGCTGGCATTTTACACACTGAAGTCAACGAGATGACCACGAGGAACCTTGGTCAGTGCACAGCCGAGCGAGTACCTCGATCTTTGCTATCCAGCATCCTAGATACAGGGTTATAATATGTGTCCTGATGGGAACACATTAATTATATATCCTTGTAAGAACGGTACACGAGGAGTCAATATTTGCGCATCTTTCCCAGCCGACTCCTACATCTCATTCAGTACTGGTCATCAGTGTGGTTCTGTTGATCGAAGCTCAGCAAGTATTGAGACTTGACTCACCAGTCCCATTTCGTCCCTATAGGACCGGAGATCCTTGGCCAGTGGGGAAAGCATGCCACGAATCACTGAAACCAGAGACCAGATGACTGTCACCTTTCTCTTCCAGAGCCTCTATGTACCAATCCTTTAGATTGTATTGCATCTTCTTTACTCGACTTTTCATTGTACCTTCTCACGAGATAATTTCGTAGCTTTATTCTTTAAGTTTACATTGCATCTAATGCACCTGAAATAGTCTTGAACTGGTTCCATAAATTTATATTGCACCTTCATCTCATTCATCATGTAATTCACCTACCTCTATTGAGTTTGTATTGCAATTGCTTCTTCATTACATGTGTTGCATGTTATTTCTTTGTGTCATAAGCTAATTTTGCCATTTTTGACTGTAGTCCTGTTGTTAGAGCATTAGTAAAATCACAGAGAATGTGTCGCTTAACCCGTATGGGTTATACAGAGCCTTGGAAAATGGAAGGCAGTCTCTCTGAGACAAAGGGATGACAAAACCAATTCACTGCATCAAGAGCCCCTCACCGGCAACAAGGGGAGAATTTTTGAGGAATTTCACTCACTGAGAACTCGCGATTCAATTTCAGATCCATTCTAGTGATCCGTATCAAATGAGCTGTAAGTTATCTAACAGAAAGCTGAAAGCGTATCTGTGCAACATTATTTACATAAAATAATAGTTATGCTTGGTAATAGATAATTTATAGCCATTATATTCCATGTTCTACATAACATACTATTTGAATCTGAGACTTTTTTACTACATTTCACAAATGTTCGTTAACCTGGGCCTCACTATCATCATAAAAACTCTTAACTCCCTCCCCCCGCGTCTCTCTCTCTCTCTCTCTCTCTCTCTCTCTCTCTCTCTCTCTCTCTCTCTCTCTCTCTCTTTCTCTCTCCATCTCTCCATATATATGTGTGTATATATATGAATATAGTGTTAAGAGATTTTACGATGATAGTAAGGCCCAGATTAGAGTATATAGGAGAGACGGAGATTATTTCCTAGTAACAGTAAGCCTTAGACAGGGATGTGTGATGTCACCATAATTGTTCAATATATTTATACTCGTAGAGGGGGTGTAAGAGAAGTGAATTCTAGGGTGTTGGCAAGAGGTGTGGGATTAAGAGATGAAGAATCTAACACAAAGTGGGAGTTATCACAGATGCTTTTTGCTGATGACACTGTACTTTTGGGAGACTGAAGAGAAGCTGCAGAGGTTGGTGAACGAGTTTGGAAGGGTATGTGAAAGAAGGAAATTAGAAGTAAACGTAGGAAAGAGCAAGGGAATGTGGATAACAATAAAATAAGTTAGTGGAAGACTGGATATCAGATTGGAGGGAGTATGGAGGAAGTGAATGTATTCAGATATTTGGGAGTGGACTTGTCAGCAAATTGGTCTATGAATGCTGAGATGAATCGTTGAATTGATGAGGAGGGGGAAAAGGTGAGTGGAGCAATGAGGGGTCTGTGGAGACATAGAACGTTATCCATGGAAGCAAAGAGGAAAATGAATGAGAGTATAGTGATACCAACGCTCTTATATGGGTGTGAAGCATGGGTGGTGAATGTTTCAACAAGGAGAAGGCTGGAGGCAGTGGAGATGTCGTGCCTGAAGACAATGTATGGTGTGGATATAATGCAGAGAATTTGCAGCTTGGAAATTAGAAGGAAGTGCTGGATTTCTAAAAGTGTTATCCAAAGAGAAGAAGAAGGGTAGTTGAGGTGCTTTCGAGATTTAGAGAGGATGGCACATAAATCTGTGCTGGAAAGGTCAGTAGGGGTCGTCCTCGGAAAGATTGAAAGGAGGGCGCCAAGTGGCTTGGATTGCCAGCAAGTGCGCCTGAGCGTGTTAGGAGCGCGTAGAGACGAATTGATTTTATAACTTGACATGTTGTTGAAGTGTGAGGAAAGTAACATTTATGAAAGGATTCAGGGAAACTAGTTAGTTGGACTTGAGTCCTGGAGATGGGAAGTACAGAATACACTGTGAAGGAGGAGTGTTGATATGTTGCTGTTTTTGAACTGTAGTGTAGACACGCCTCTGGCAAGACATTGATGGAGTGAATCATTGGAGGAGAATGAAATTAGCCTAGCTACCCAGTTGCATACCAACGTATGTAATTGGGTAGCGAGTACAACATCCAGTTCCGCTGGATGCGCTACTTTTAAGGATTGTGTGGTCCCGTGGATTAAGGCGTCATGAGTTTTCGCCCACCATGAGGCAGGCCAAAGCAGCATGGGTTCGACTCTTTGGCTAGTCACAATGTTGTACATATTATATTAATATATATATATATATATATATATATATATATATATATATAATATATATATATATATTATATATATATTTTATATATATATATATATTATTGCAGTCGATGACGTGTCGATAAATATTTTGTTTTGAAGGAAGCGGTGAGTAATGAGAGTGTGTGGACATTGTTTACCTAGACTTTAATAATTATTCGATAAGATTCCACACAAGACTGATAAAAACAGAAGTGACGGCACACGATGATGCAGAAGAACTGGAAGTGGAAGGGTAAGTACCAACAAGTAAAGCAAACCTGTCAGTGGATATTTTCATTAACAACGACATTTTGCACACACATTGGGCGTTATGAAGTGACTGTCTTGATCAAACCTTTATGTGGGGCAGTACTTTGTGATTAATAAAAGCATTCACTCTATTTAAGAAATTCTTTCGTAGATAGAGAAGCAATATAGGAGATTTGCATCAAAATTTTTGGTAAAGTTTCGGTGTGAACTTGCAGCGCTCTTTTGGACCCCATATTACAAGACTGAAATAGGTCAAGAGCCCTTTCCTGATTCCCTGAATCATGAATATTTCTAACATAAAATGAAAGCACTGAAGATAGAGAAAAAGTACTAAAGTTAAAGTGAAAGTACTGAAAATAAAGTGAAAATATTGAAGCTAAAGCAAAATTACCGAAGATAAAGAGAAAGTTCTGAAGATAAAGTGAAAGTACTGAAAATTAAGAGAAAGTACTGAAATAAGAAAGTACTGATGATAAAGAGAAAGTACTGAAGATAAAGTGAATACTGGAGATAAATAAAAAGTACTGAAGAACAAGTGAAAGTACTGAATAAATCATTTAAGTACTGAATTTACAATCTCTTGAAAGGTGTAGCATGAGAATAAATTTACAAATCAAATCACTGAGCGGACACCAATAGGTCGATGAAATATATAACCAAAGAAAAACTAGCAACACGCATTCAGAATAATTAAATTCAGATTCCGAAAACCTATAATAAGGCATTGTTTCTCAATTCCTATACATAATTTTTTATGCCTAGATATATATATATATATATATATATATATATATATATATATATATATATATATATATATATATATATATATATACACACAATATATAGGGAAGTACACGTCTATGGCTGCACTGGGGACCCTCATCCTCAGAGAAGACAATAAAAATACCTCAAGGTTCTCCCCGGAGCAGTTTGAATATTTTCTTCTACCACCCCTATATTTGATATTCTATGTGAACATTTATTAATAAACAGAATACATTTACAGAAAAACATAAACATGAATACAATGGCACAATGTATCAAAGATCATGAATTTCCTCCAGCTCCTCCGGGGATACCATGGGATACCAAGGGATACTTGGAGAAAGTTTCGGGGACCAACTCCCCCGCGGCCCGGTCTCTGACCAGTTTGCCACGTGAAGGTTAATATAAAAAAATGAATGTTTAAGACTGATGTTTGTCTTTTATATTAAGAATATGGCAGCTGTATGATTTTATTGTAATATTAGTAAATTAGAATATATTCTAGAGATGTATTACCCTTTACTATGTTTTTGGCGCTGTAGTGTGAGTGTGTGTTTGTGTGTGTGTGTGTGTGTGTGTGTGTGTGTGTGTGTGTGTGTGTGTGTGTGTGTGTGTGTGTGTGTGTGTGTTTTCTGAGAAACCTTCGCTTCAGTGCCTGGGTTAAACAAACAACTAATTCAATTTATATTATCACATCGTCTCTTTATTTGTCGACGACGAAGATTCGGTGCTTATTAGCCTCGAGTACCTGCGATATAAATAAAAAAAAATATTTTAAGGTTCGTAATATTCATTATAAGTCAAAACAACTATGATTTTTTGCAAGTAATGAAAGTAACATTTTTGCCAGTAGTGTTTGAATCTCTGGATTAATTAATGTTTAAATAAGACTCAAATGCTTACTTCCCAGGCCACCACCAAATCCACCTCCAGCACCACCTCCACTGCCGCCGCCGCTACCTGGGCGATGACTGCTGCCGCTGCACCGCCTCCACCAAATCCACCTCCAGCACCGCCTCCACTGCCGCCGCCGCTGCCTGGGTGATGACTGTTGCCGCTGCTGCCGCCGCCGCCAAATCCACCTCCAGCACCGCCACCTTGGTGTCCACCGCTACTGCCGGCTCCACCATGATGACCTCCACCTCCTGCTCCACCTCCGCTTCCGCCTCCAAATCCACCACCTCCTCCAAGTCCACCACCGCCTCCTGTGCCAGGCTTATTACCTCCGCCGCTTCCAAATCCACCACCTCCTCCAAGTCCACCACCGCCTCCTGTGCCAGGCTTATTACCTCCGCCGCCTCCAAATCCACCACCACCGCCGAAGCCACCTTCAAAAGTAAACATAAGTAACAATTAGAAATTATAATATATACATGACAAACGATCAATGTAAATCTCATTCACAGTCTCAGAAACGAATACATAAACTTGAGAAAATTGCTAAGAATCTCGTCGAAAGACTACATTGTGATACATGCTTTTGATAATCAACCTTATATACTCCGTCCTAAACTCCTTGTTTAAAGCAAAATCTTTTTCATTCATGGATCATTCATCTCACCTCCCCCAGAAAGGCGAGTTCCCGTCACGGAGACAAGGAGGACGGCAGAGGCCAGGAAGACGATCACTAACGGTTTCTGTGGAGGAAAATAAACAGGCTGGTATAAGCATTTGGTACGTCTGTGCTCTGAAGATTTCAGCACAACACGTTACATATGCATGTGTCATCGTGATATCAAGAGATTATCGTCAGAATAAACTACATGACTGATAATAGATATAAGTGAAATGAATAACTGATTTTATTGTACGCTTTGAAAATTATGCTTTTCAAGAGATCTCATGCGAAACACCTTATTTCTAACCCACGACAATACTGTTTTTGTTTGCCAAATCAGAAAGGGATATGTTTGCCGAGGGTGGTAACTTACACTGGAGGATTGCCAGTTTGCCTAAGGTGTTAAGTTCAGAAGCTTACTTACAGCGTTAACTTAACATGACTAACAACTGCAACTTTTCACGAGACCTACCAAAATTAATGTCTTTCCAAGCGATCTTTCAAGATTACTATCTTTCCAAGGAACATACCTAGTTTGTTGTCTTTCCAAGGAAAATGCCCAAGTTGCTGATGTACCTTGGGATCTGCCAAGATTGAGGTACTTGCATGGAATCTGCCACCCTCTGTTACTACCTAATAATCCTGATAGCAAGATTGATTTTTAAGGAGGATTACCAACACTGAAGACATTCCATGACATTTACCAATATTTCTGTCTCTCAGTGGGCCCTGCCAATATAATACATAAAGGGACCTGCCAATATAGCCGACTAGACGATCTGTTCTCATACATTGCTGATATAGGGACCTACCACTATCAGAAACTTACCATGGTTGTACCAGTGAGTGAGGACGCAAGTGGCTCTCTCAGACTTCTGACGTCCAGGTCCGCTGCGCCCTGTTATATATACTCCAGTCTTTGAACAGTGACGTCAACACACCCGAAAAAATGCGAGTTCAGTTGAAAGAAATGTGAACGGGGGATAAGTTCAAGGATTGTGCAGCTGTTTATAAATTAAGTCTTTTGGATCCACACAAAACAACTTCATAAACCGAATGAATAATAAGCAGTTTCCAGAGTATAATAGACATCCTAAGCTCTTAAAGAATCAGGTAAATTTTTGCATGATTTTTTGCACTCATATTTCTATCTTTAGCTAGAGTTACATGCTAATTTCCCGATCAGCCAGACTATTGTTACTGCTAGTCTGGACATCTACACAGCAATCTGACACTGTCGTAAGGGACCTATGAAGGTCCTTCATAAAAACCTTAAACGCTTGTAGAATCAAGTAATGTGGAATTTAATGCTCTGCAGATGCTGTTCTTTCGCCCAGAGTCTTTAAAAACACTTTATATCGAATGTAAGTCTGGTTTGCCACAAATAATCAGGGTATGTTAGTTCTTGGGTACATAGTTTCTGAAATACCTAATCCAGTATCCATATTATTGTTGTGTTAACATTGATTGCATTGTGCATCAGAGTATACACATCAAGAGGTGCATCGCGGGATCTCTGAGAGTTTAATGATGTCAAGGTGAACTGTGACCCTAATGATCCAATGAGAAAACACTGTCAAGAAGGATGAAATTATCTTTCAGTGATCACGGGACTCTTGTTGGGAGATTACAGTGAGGGAATTGTGTTGCTGTTATTATTATTATTATTATTATTATTATTATTATTATTATTATTATTATTATTATTATTAAATAGGGGAAAGAGCTAAATTCGTTGGGGTAATACAGCGCCTGGTGGAAATGACAATCAGGTTCAATTCAGTGAGCTCTCTCCTTCCCTCTCCAGCATCAAGGAACTTATGAAACATTTCGATCTTATTCCGTTGCAATATTAAGTATGGCTGTTATACAACAGTTGCATATTCCAATCTTGGCCTCGTGTATGTCGTAAGCAGTTTTCCTCCATCCATACACTTGAAACAATACCAGAGTTAACCAGTGTAACAAAAATATTTCCCAAAATTTCATGTAGACAGCCTGCTGGTGATATTTTTTATTCACAATAACACATCTTTTTCTCTGTCTCACACTCGCAGAATTTTGCCTCACAGTCTATATTTTTTTTTTATGTGGTCTGACATCGCTTTCTCCCATTTCCATTATATGGGGCTTATCAACAATGAATTCCATTACCCATCCATTTGCTCACCATATCCGTATCATCTTATAATGATTTACAGTTATTATTATCGTTTTATTTTACACAAAAATTTTTCATCTGCAAACAAGTTGATATAGTGTTCTGTTCCTTCTGGCAAACATTTTTTATTTTTATTTTTCTATTAACACATCGGCCGTTTCCATCGGCTGCTTCCCACCAAGGCAAGGTGACCCGAAAAAGAAGAAACATTTTCATCATCATTCACTCCATCACTGTTTTTCCAGAGGCGCGCTTTACACTACAGTTAAAAATCTGCAACATCAACACCCGTCCTTCAGAGTGCCGGCACTGTACGTACCACCTCTAGGACTCGAGTCCGGCAAATAATATATCCAAATTAAAAACATTTTTGGAGCCAGTACAAATCTCAGTGGTACCCCACTGGTCACACTTTTCCAAGAGTACATTTTTCCTCTTACCATTGTTAGTATTTTTCCCTCAGACAAAAGTCTCATCCATTGTAAACGTTTGCCTTTCATTCCTCCAGGATTATAAAGTTTTTAAAATAAGTCTTTCTCGATTTCACAATTATAAAGCTGTCTCAAAATTTCCCTGACTGTCATAATAGCTCAATAGCTTTGATGTACAGAATTTCCAGATCGCAAGCCAGATTGTTTACTAGATGGTAGGTAGTTCCTGAACAAATGTTTCATCCGCTTTCCTCTGATGACTTCCTCCAACAGTTTAATAACAACATCTGAAAACGAAACACAATATATACAATGAGAGGTTCCAGTCTCTCAGTTTATATATATTTTATATATATATATATTTTAGGGATTAAAGTAATCTTGACCGGTGGTGAACGGGGGACATGATACATAAATAACACGTACATAGGCGACTGGAACTTATGGCGACGTTTCGATCCGACTTGGACCATTATTGTCCCTTTGAGTAGTGTAGACTTTAATGCTAAACAACTAACCAGGACAAAAGACTATAGTTTACAGGGTCTTCCCTCTTACCTTTCAAAAACAATGGAGCAATGTGTGCAATCTTCCAATTGCTTATAAGACTGCGTACATGTTTTCAACTTGTCTGCATTTTGAAAACGTTTGTTCGTGTTTGGAAGTGTGTTCATTTTTGGAAGTATGTATTCTTGTTAAGAAGCATGTATTCTTGGTTGGAAGCATGTCTAGATATTATCAAAGTTATTTAGGGCATGATGCCAAATAACTTTGAACGCAAACAATTTCCTTGTGAAACTTATACGATTCATGCATATATTTTAATACCTTAATCAAAAAAATTATGCACGGGTTGTCATTAGGCAGGAGAAAACAGACAATTGATGAGAGGGCAAAAAACATTATAAAAGTTTTTTAAAACATATGCATTATTAGCAAGATAATTTTACGAACAAATTATATGTTGATGAATATCAAAAATTACAAAGATGGTTAGATCAGCATGAGCATTTACATAATAATGAATCTGCAGACGTGGGAGACAAGGATTGCAGTCACTCGAGTTCCACACGTGACTTGGTCACACACAGTTCCAGGAAACACACTCGAGAAACAAACTCCCAGCTTCTGGAGGAGGAGAAGGATGTGGTTTCAACAAGTTTGTGTATAGTGCCGGTTCTTTGTGCATCGGAACGCAAACTTTTTAATGTTATACCTCTACACGTTAATTGTAGGACGTTTAGAGTCTGTTCTTCAACCACTGCAAATTTATAATAATGATTATATGGACTCACGGAATCGTTAATGACACGATTGCAAACAAAAACCATACCCGGCGGGATTGAACCCGCGGGCAGAGTCTCAAACTCCAGTCGTCAGCGTTAGCCACTAGACAGCTAGCCACATAAATTGTCCATATAGGTATATTTTAACCATAGGAAGGTTAGCACAGGCACCACTGTGGACCACAATGGAAGTTTTTACAGACGAATCTACAGCTAGCGTGGCGGACGAACTCTAGCTCAAGTCCCCTCACTGCGTCAACATGACTCACGAATCGTAATGACCGAATTGCAACAAACCTACCCAGGCAGGATTGAACCCGCGGTCAGGAGAGTCTCAAAGAATCCAGATCGTCGCGAGTTCAATCCCGGCGGGGTTAGGTTTGGTTGGAATGTCATTATTTTATATATATATATTATTGATATATATATATATAATAGATGAGTGTACTCACCATTGTGCTCACCTATTTATGGTTACAGGGTTGATTCATAGCTCTGGCCGCCTTTCACTGGTCACTATAGTTCCTTCTCTTACTTCTGAGCTTAATCATACCTCGTCTTAAAATCTATGTATGGTTCTGCCTCTACTGCGATCGTTGTCAGGTGGACTGTTCAACTTACCTAACAACTCTAGGGAATAAATAAATACTTCCTACATCCTTGATCATCTGAGTTTTCAGTTTCCAATTGTGACCCCTTGTTTCTGTGTACCATCTCTGAAACATCCTGTCCTCGCTGTAGTTTGTATGTTTTATCATGTCTCCCTGATCTTCCTGTCTCCAGTGTTCTCGTAAGGCGATTTCCCGTAATCTTTATTGTAGAGTATTTTCTCTGAGCTCTGGAATATTCTTGTTGCAAAACCTTTGCACTTCTTAATTCCCTTGACGTGCTTCTCAGGTTGGTTCCAACTGGTGCTCGCATACTCCAGTATGGCTGATGTCCACGGTGTACAGAGTCTTGAACGATTCTTATTGAGGAATCGGAACGCTATCTCAGGTTTCAGGTGCCTATATGCTGCAGCAGTATCTGGTTGATGTGAGCCTCAGGATATGGGGTCGGGGGTTTTTAATTATACTCACTCCTAGATTTCCTTTTATGAGTGAGTTTGCAGTCTTTTGACACATAGACCCATACTTGTCTGCGGTCTTCTTTGCCTTCCGATCTCATGCTACTTTACATTTGGCGGTGGTTAAATTCGGATGAGCAAGTAGTGTGTGTGTGTGTGTTGTGTTTTGGGTTGGGTGTCGTGTGTGTGTGGATGGGTTTGTGTGTGAGTGTGGGTGTTATGTGGGTGTGGGTGTGTGGTGGGGGTGTTTGGGTGGGTGGGTGGGTTGCTGGGTGTGTGTGGGTGTATGTGTGTATATGTGTTACGGATGTGTGTGTGTGTGTGTGTGTAGTGTGTGTGTGTGTGTGTGTGTGTGTTGTGGGTGTTTTTGTGTGTGCTTGTGTGTAGGTTTGTGTATGTGTGTGTGTGTATGTGTGTGTGTACGTGTGTGTATGTATGTTTGTTGTGGTAGGGGAAAGCCAAAATCTTTAACTCAGATGATGGTTAACCTTGATCATGTCCAAGTACTCATGATGGTAGCTACCGCCTCACCCACGTGCCTATCTTTAATGAAGCGGTCTTACTTGTGCGTGGTTTACGTTCGGTGGCCAGCCCAACTAAGAGAGTACACGACTTCCGCACTAAAGTTCATGCTAGATAGAAATGTCTTAAACTTTTCTGACGATATACGTTTCTGAGCATCCACACTTTCAGCCAGAAAAGAAGTGGGTGGACATACTAACAGCATCTAGATTGCGCCTGCCAGCCTTTTTACTCCTCCTCCTACGGACTTCTGCGCAGTCTGGTGAAGAAAAATTTACCACAAGGTAGTAATACCAGTCGGGCAGGTGAGATGAGCCCCAGTTACATCAGTGGCATCAGCGTTTGGGACACCCTTTCAGCGCAAACGAGGAGACCAGCTGAAACTTTATCTCATAAACAATCCAGTTGAGACAGCCACATTATGG